TCATCTTAACTCATTTGGGTAACTGCTTTAAGATAATCAAACATGATTTAGCTAATTTCTTAGCTACACTTTTAGTCATGGATTCATTAGCTAATTACTCAATAACTTTTATTGATTGCCCAATTATTAACTGTAATATACATATATATTTCCTTGGCCATTCCTAGCACATTTATCGCTTGCTCCACTTTCCCCACACTCTTGACCTATCTACATTCAAAACGAATGAGAACTCAGCTGCGAATGGTGGGCTCTTGCGATCTGATCAGACGCCGCCTGCGGATCAGCATTTGGCTGCAAAAGCTTTGCAGCTCATGTGCGTGCTGAAAGCTCATAAAAAAGTGCGTGTGCGCGAGAGAGAGAAACAGAGAGCGTGCGAGAGAGCGCGCTTTTGCACTTGCAGAGAGCGGCAAAAACTATTTGGGCCTATGGAATGCTTATGAATGTAGTTGTTGTTTTTTTTTTGTTTTTGGCACTGACAGGCAAAGCGACGCAGCCATTTTTAGATTTCTTTAGCGCTAGTTTTTGTTGCTGCTGCTGCTGTTCTTGTTGTTATTGTTGTTGCTGTTGTAGGGCGCTCGCATTGTTGTTGTGTTTGCAGTTGAGCTTTTTTTAGTGTTGCTTCAGTTGTTGTTGTTGTTGCTGGCGTGTATATGTATTTATTGCGCGTGAATGTCATTTACAAAGCAGGAAAAGCTTTGCGCTGCAAAGCGTTGCGCGTGTGCCTGTGTGTGCGCGTGTGTGTGTGTGTGTGCGTCTACGCACATTTTTAATTATGTTGTGCGAGCTCAAGGTTTTTTTTTCTATCGCTGCTGTAGTTTTATATATTTTTTGAACATTTTTTTTGTTGCTGTGCAGGCGTTGGCGATAGAGCGTAGCGGCTTTTGCTTGCCCCCTCCCTCTCCCCACCCCTCCGCTGACCATTACTTACGGCCAATTTTAATTGTAGGCCGTAATAATTTAGATGCGACGCTGACACAATCTACAAATAACCGAAAATATTTTTGGCGCTGCGTTTGCCACTTATTTATATAAAAAACTTTGTATTTATGTAGTTTTTTATTTTCTTTACATAGAGCTTTGGCGGGTATATATATACATACATACATACAAATGTATTCTAATGAAAATCTTATTTATTTGCTGCGCTCCTCTCAATGTGTTTGTGTGTGTGTGTGCTCACAAGTTCCAAGTATTCCATATACAATTTGTATTATCAGCGCGCTTTTGTGTTGTAATTGCCACAAATTTAACAATTTTAGATTATTTTTTATTGAAAAATAGCATTGTTTATTGTATAGAAAATTTTGAGGTTAGTTTTTATATGAATTTCAACAGAAAATGCATTTCTAGGTTATGTTCATTAAAGGTAAGCCTTTCCTTAAATGAAGCTATGTTTCTCTCTCCCTCTCTCCCTCTCAACCTCTCGCTCTCTTCACTTCATTTCTGATTCATTTACTTTGCATGTTTCAGCATTTCTCAAACTAACACCCCGACATATCATACACTAATTTATGCGCTATTTTATGGCCATGTTTCATGGCCTATAAAAACAAAAAACGCGACACTCGTTAACTCAGGATTAGTACTGCAAAACTATATCATTAGTTTTATTTTCTCGGCGAATATAAAAAAGAGGAGAAAAAAATGAAACTTGCATGTGCTTGGGCCCATAAAAAATGCGAAATCTCCGCTTTTATGTGGTGCTAATTAAGCTTATCAAAACGCAAGACAAATTCATTATAAAAACCAACAAAAAGCAGAAGAAAAAAATTTGAAAATAAATATTTTTATTTAATATTATTCCAACTACAGTGAAAACCTGTCAGTGTCGCTCATTGTATGTATTTGTTTTTCTCCATTGTTGTTTGTGGCACTTAAATGTGTTGCTGGCCAGCTGAGTTGGCCAAATGGCTAGGCCTAAACCCACATACGGCCCAATATGATGGTTGCTATCTGCACACTCAGTGTAGGTGTGTGCGTCTGTGCGTGTGCAAGAGAGCATACAGTTATTGCGTGTGTGTGTGTGTGTGTGTATATGTATGTATACATATGCATGTGATATGTACACACTGTTTCTCAGATATGGCGGAGCCTATGTGCAATGCTTTGGCAAACTATTCGTTCGCTTTTATTCCCCAGCTGCTAATTGCCAGTTGCCTTTTGCTCCAATTCGCAAAAGCACACACACACACAAACGTACACAAACAAACGCACTCACTCACTCGCTCGCTCGCACGCACACAAAATGTGCACTACACCTAACACGCTCGCACACATTGCCAAATGGGCTGGCAAAACTTTTGCATGCAGTCAATACATAGTAGAGTTAGGTAGCGTAGACTAAGTGTAGAGTAGAGTTGTGTAGCGTACGGCAGTGTAGAGTAGGCAAAGCACCCGCTATGTGGGTGTGTGCCATGTGCTGCCTGCCCATGTATGAGTGAGTGTGCTCGTCGCAAATAGAAAACGCATTCCATGGGCGTCGTTAGTTAGTTGCGCTTCGGGTCTCGCACATATGACATTTAAGCGGTCGACGCCTGTGTGCTGGCTGCCATTTTGTGAGTGCGAGCGAGGTGTTGTCTACAAGCATGCAGTTATATTTGCTGTTTCACATGCATGCTCATGGAGAGTGTCGATTAATTATTCAGCATTTGTTTACAGTGCTAAGCAAATTTATGAGCCACTTAGAAGAATTGCTGCGCACAGAACTTAAACTCTAAACAACAAGAATCTCGCATTACAACGGCAATAATAACAGTGTTGAGCTTTGCGGATAATTGAAAGTGCATACGCAGGCCAATTACAGCGCTGCGAGAGAGAGAGAGAGAGAGGGTGGGAGATGGAGGGAGAGTGCCTCCCATTCTTGCGCTGTGTCAACAGCTAAACAACTGTAATAACAACTGAGCGGCGGCTTAAGCTATTGACGGGTTTTGTGTGGAATCGCTTTTCTTGGTAGCCGACACATTAAAATTCAAGCGACTGCAGTGTCAGGTCATAAAATGCCACAATTATTAAAGCAGCAGCAGGCAGAGCAGAAGAAGCAGCAGCAGAACACGAATCAGCTCTAATGAGTGCAGTCGGACAGCGAGCGGGGGTGGGGGAGCAGCACACACAATTGCATAGGCGCAGCAACTGCGACGCACTTTGCGCAACTGCCGACGACGACAACAACCACAGCAACAGCAACAACAATGTTGCGTTGCATTGCGTCAGTCCAAAGCCGCGCAGTCTGCGATGCGCAGCGCGTGCGAGCGAGACAGACTGCGACATGGTGGTTGGGGTAAGGAGCTTTGTGTATTCTAGGAAACTGAACGATTGCGCAACGTGCGTGAAAGAGCAGGCACGTCACGAAGGTTGTAGAGGCCAGAAACTAAAACGCACTTCCGACAAGTGAAAATGCAGCAAAACAGAACAACAACAAAAATATAAAGACAACAAAAAAAAACAGTAAAAACGAAGCACACGTAAAACAAAGGTTGAAAAAGTAACCGAATTGTTGTTGCATTTAATTAAATGCGGAAGACCCTCGACAGCAACAACAATCACGGGGCAAAAAGCAACTACATTTAAGCGCACGCATCAAGCAGCAATAGAGCGAACAAGCGAGCGAGAGAGAGAGAGCGCGAGTGCGAGCGAGAGGCAGATAGGCAGCAAAGTACACACAACGCACAAAATTTGGAACGCGCTGCGCTTAAAGTAGGTCAAAGTGGCAGCGACGCTGGCAGCGACGGCGTCAATGCCGCGAGGGGGTTGCGTGTCAGCAGCAGCAGCAGCAGCAGCAGCAGCAGCGCGCAGCGGCAGCAACTGCGACGCAGCAGCAGCACAAGAAAAGTTTAATTTATGCAAAGAAGAAAAAATATTATGCGTTGCGTATGTGTGCTTGTATATGTGTGTATGTGTGTGTGTGTGTAACTTTTGCTTTTCTTCAGTTTACGCCTAATTGTTATTAATATGCAACGTTGACGCTCATAAATCATATTCAAAAGTGCGTAGAAAAACACAACAGCAACAACAAAAACTCATTTTTCAAGTTGCTTCTTTTATTTTTTGTTGTTGTTTTTTGCTTTGCATAAATTATAATTATAAGCAATTATATTTAAAATTACATGCGTTGTGCGTCTGCAAAATGTTTGCAAATGTTTGCGACGTGGCGCAGGAAAAAAAAACACAAACTTTCCAAAAATTGTAACTGCATGTGACAATATTTCTTCAGCCTCAGTAAGATGGAGGGGGGGGGGGGGGTTAAGTAAACTAAGGGCTAGGGAGTGGCAATGCTGTGTAGTTGTATGGGTGAAAATGCGCTGCGTAATTAGCATAAATATTGAATGGAATTTGTTGAGGTTAGTTGGAAGTCAGTGTTGCACAAGGTTTATGACTATTTGCAGTGTTGGTCAGTTAGTTAAGAGCGCTTATGCCGATAATAAACATAAACATGGAATGTAATTGATTGAGTTTCTGGTTGAAGTCAGTGTTGCACAAGTTCTGTGTTCGTTTGTAGTGTTGGACAGTTTATTGGCGTGAGTGTTTGTGCACATAAATAACGTAAATTTTGAATGGAATTTGTTGAGGAGGTTGCAGTCCGTGCTGCACATGTTTAATGATTATTTGCAGTGTTGGTTAGTCAGCTGAGAGTCAGTGTTTATTCAGACAACTAACCTCAATATAGACTGTAATTGTTTGAGTTTTGGCTGAGGTCAGTGTTGCACAAGTTTTCTGTTTCTAGTGTTGGTTAACATAAATATTGAATATCATTTTTTGCTTTTGGGTTAAGGTCAGTGTTGCACAAGTTTTGTGTACGTCTGTAGTGTTGAACAGTTAGTGAAGGAGTTTGCTTTTTAAGCACAGTCAACTTAAATTCGACATGCATTCCTATTAGGCAATGCTTAAGGCCAATTACAGGAATTTCTACTCAGTTAGAAAACTTTTGAGAAGCAATTATTCTGACTTAATTTTCTTCTAACTTATTTTTTAATTTGTATTTATTTGATTGTCAAACTCACCTTTAAATCCAATTGCAAATTTTCGCGTTAATCCAAAAATGCCTTAATTTTTAATCGTACAAAATGTTTACAAATTTTGTTTGTTTTTTCTTCTCGCTTTTTTTTTCTTTTGTTGTAATAAATTTGAATTACAATTTGTTGTAATTTATACGCACTGCACTTCACTTATGTCAAAAGTTATTTAATTGAATATTCTGAATTTCGGTTTACTATCAAAAATGTTTACCAAATAGTTTGCTTAGCTAATTTAAGCAATATTTATTCAAATATATTTATGCATATATATTTTAATTTTTATTTTATAAATTGTTGTTTGTTTTTTTCTGTTTTTTTTCTCTATAATTTGTTTTTTTTTTTGTGTTTTATCGAAACGAAATTTTTATGCAAACTAACACACACGTTCTGCTGCTGCTTGTTGTTGTTGTTGTAGTTGTTGTTGTTGTAGATGTTGTAGTTGTTGTTGTTGTTGTAGTTGTTGTTGTTGCTGTTGTTGCTGCTGTGTTGCTGTGTTTAGTATTGCGTTTTGTCCGAACCAATAATTTTGAAGAGTTTTCCAATTTAGTTGTTGGCTTAAATTTTTGCGGTTTTTCCTTGTTTTTCTTTAGCTGATTTTTGCCTTTGTTGTTGTTGCTTTACGGTTTAGCTTAAATGTTACATTTAATTTGTTTTATTCCTTGATTTCAGTTAAGTGTGTTTTCTTTTTTATTTAAATTTTTCAATTAGCCAAATAATTTTTGTTTTGTTTCGTTTTTAGTTTTCTTTTGCACGCAGCTTGCCAAAAAAGTTTTTACGTTTCTATTCTTTTATACTTTTGAAATTTTAGCCCAAAATTATTTTTGCCAATTTGAATTTTTGCGTTTCTTTTGCATTTAACCAAAGTTTCTTTCAGTTCATTTTTGTTTCAATTCATTTGCTTTGTTGTAAAAAATAGTTTAATTCAATTCTTAGTTTTGTTTTTTTTTTTAGTTTGTTAAATGTTCAAAAATTGCTGTTGCAATTGCATTTTGTGGCATGCGTCGCTTTTGCTGTCGCCTGTTGTCGGTTTTGTTGTCGTGATTAGTTTTATGAGACATTTTCACAGCGACATTTGGGGCCTGAAAATAAACAAGAAAGCGAAAATATATAAATTGATGCTCTCAAATCTTATATTATTAAAGGTCAGTTATTATATTAGAATTATTTGTTTTATTTTATTGGCTTTTTTATATTTTAATTCAAGCCAAAATTCAGTTCGTGCCTTCTTTTGTTTTTTAAATGCCTTTATCTCAGGACCTTTTCGATCTAGACCTGAAAAATTTGGGATGTGAAGGGGTCAATACCTCACCCAAGAGAAAAAAGTTTCAAATCGGGATTATCTACACACAAACTCACGAAAATCGAAATGAGCGCAAGTTCCATTCTTGACAGTTTCGTCCATATCAAGTACAGACAGATTATTATGCTATTCATATGATATTCGTCGTATAATATATATACATATATATGATTATTTATATATATATGATTATTTCCCTCTGCTCCCTGCCTGACACGTTTTATTTCTTGCTTTGCTTTTTTTTTCGTAATAATTTCATTCATGAGCAAAATAATGTCAAAATCGACGTCTTATCTGTCTCGAAAATGTTTTGTGAATTCTTTAATCTTAAAGCCTGGAATCTAAAGCATTGCATTCCGATTTTTGTCTCTGGCAAGTGTTTCGTTTTTAATCTAGCTTTCAATTCGTGTTGTTATTGTTGTGAAATACCCTACAGACAGCGAGCGAGGGGCACTTGCACATGTGCTTTTCTTCAGGAAATTGTCATAGCTTATCAATGCTGGGCGAGATAGTTACAAATGGGCAAACTCTAAGCCTGCATTTGAGTCAAAATTTGTGAGATTGAACTGGTTTGGGTAAAGCTTGGGCTTTGGTTCGAAGCGGCTTTCGAAGAGACTCGCAACTGCTCAGTTACTGGGCAGATACTTTAGCTCTATTCTATGCCAAGTTTTAACTCTATTTTAGTCTCGAATATTCTCTGAGTTTTGAGTTTGAACTACTTTGGAACTGGGTGAATGATATGGTATTATTTTTGTGTATTATTTTTATATAGAACTTCATAGTTTATATTTTAAACATTTTTTTACTGCATCAGGTTTTATATATATTATTATTATTACAATGCTCGCTCGCAATTAGAAAACAAAATAATAATAAAAGTCTTAAGACTTTCAATTTGAGATTATAACGATTATTTTATTATAATCATTATAATTATATAATATAATTAATGAGTTAAAATCATTATTGTGATATAATTGTCGAAGCTAATTTATTATTTGTTGTTAGAGTAGATATATAGAAAATTATATAATAATGTATAATATATATATATATCAACTATCATATATTATATATGTATAAAATAGTATATTAATAGCATAATAATAAACAATATGCTGTATATTATTATTTCGAATTTTATATTGAACAACATATTGTTTATTTGTATAATATTATTATAATGTATAGTATATAGTATTATATTATAATTTAGAATTATAATCTTTTATATATATCTTTGCTTTATTATATCAATACTTATTCCTATTATTATTTTTGCAATCATTTCATAAGATTTTATTTTCTTTCTGTCTGTAAAAAGACTTCAAGATAATAGTAAAAATAAAAAAACATTTATTGAACTTTTTTTATAATAGTAATAACAATATTTGAAAACATTGTAATAATTAATATTTTTATATTATTATTATTATATTTTTTAAATATGTCCAAAATTTCCCACTTAGCTCTTTGCAAGTCATTTTTATATCAAACAAGTGTCCGCCCTGGCTATAACCGATCTTTGCCACGAGTAACTACTGTATATAGGTATATACATATGTATATATGCCGTTATAAACCCTTCACAATCTTTATGCATTTTCGGTGTTGCAGTCACACGCACACACGCACACACACACACACACACACACACACACACACACACGCACACACACGTGTCGCAAAAAGGGGTTCGAATTTGGTTTTGAGTTCGGCTTTTTTTGTTGGTTTGTTCAAAAATCTTTGCATAGGATTTGCCCTGCTGTGGGGCGGAGCGGGCAGGGTGGTTTATTGTTTGTTGTTGTTGTTGTAGTTGTTGTAGTTGTTATAGTTATTATTGTTGTTGTTGCGGGCATTGTCTTCGCTTGATTAAAAATGCACAAGTTTCCAGTTTTAGTTGCATGCAGAGCAGCCGAGCACAGAGCAACCCCATTTGCCACACACACACACACACAGATGCACACTCGCACACACACTCACACACACACTCGCAAACACACGCACTGAGCTACGCACAATTGGGTCCGGATTGCATTTGTAAGGTTTGTCCCGGAACTGAAGAAGTTGTGAACTTGTAGTCCTTTTTGGTCCTTAAGTTAGCTCGGAATGAACTGTTGGGAAAGTATCTTTAAGATACAAATGCACTTGTATAATATACACTTGCATAGCTAACGCACAAATTGTATTTCCGAGCGCGAAAAACTCTGAACATTTTCTTTTGTTTTTACAGAATTTAGTATATAATTTTATATAATTTTTAATACTTAAATATGTATAATATTTTATACAATTTTATTTAATTTATAACTCATTCCTTAATTGAATTTATGGAATTTTGAATTTTATTATATGCAAATAATTGTGATTTGAAAATATATTTAAATGTATAAATATTTTGTTCAAATAGACAGCATTTTATTTATGGATTATTTGTATTATTGTTTAATTTTTTAAATTGCATTTATTGTTATAATTTCTAGCAATTTTTTGTATTTTTTATTGAATTATTTAGTTAAACGTTTTTTTACTTTAATTTTTAAGATATTTATTTAATTATAAACATTTCTTGCAGTGTTAATTGATGAATGATTTTGCACTTGTCTTGTTTAATAACAATAAACAATGAATTTACCTTCGATCACTTGTCAAATACACACATACACACGCGCACTGAGACACACACACGCGCGCACACACTTGTGAATACAACGTCAATTTGTTTTTGTTTTATGTGTGTGTGTGTATTTGTATTTGTATTTGTTTGCCGGCCTTGGTTGTTCTTTATGTATTTGCTTTTCTTTTTAAAAACATAAACTAAACTTAAATAATAAATTAAAAGAACAGTTTAATGGAAAACTTTTGTTTTGTTTTTGTTTCGTTTTTTTTTGTTGTTATTGTAACAATTATTTTTGTGCGCTTCGTTTTTGCACTTTTCACTGATCAAAAATAAATTTGTATTTATTTTTCTTCTGCATTTCCGTTGTTGGTTCGTCAATAATTGAACATATATATATATATGTGTATATATGTATTTTTATAAATTTATTGTTATTAATTTTGAAAATGTAATTTTGTATTTTTTTAGATTTTTGCAGTCAGCTTCTGTTGTTCAGTTGCTGCTGTTGCCGCTGCCGTTGCCGTTGTGGGGAAATGTTAGACGAGACGAGAAATGCACACAACGAACGCTGCTGCTGCGAGCTGCGCACCACCGAAACCTAGCGCCGAATAGACGAGCATGAAATTCAAAAATTGCGTTTATGGCCTATCAACCAGGCAGGCGGCGGCGGTCGACGCACACAAGCATACAGAATGCACGCATACACGGCCAGACAGAGTCGCATATACACACACACAGGCACACAGATGGGCAGAGAGACGGGTAGCGGGCAGAGCCACCACCAACAGCAGCAATAGCAGCAGCAGCAGCAGCAGCAGCAACAGCTCCAAGAGAGTAAGAGTAAGTAAAACGCAGCCCAACGCAGCAAAGCGCAGCGAAAAACACACACACACACATGCTGAGAGCGCCGTCAGAGCGGCTCTCGCTAGCTTTTTTGGCAGCGAAAACAAGTTCTCCGCTGGCGCTTTTGGGGCCCGACGTCGCAGTCGGCGTCGTTGTCGTTGTCGCTGCCGCTGCGAGAGTGCGTCCATTTTGCATTGCCTGCGTGTGTGTGCGTGTGTGTGAGTGCTTTTGTTTTTGATTTTGTTTCGCTTTGCGCTTTGCGTTGCAAATGCAGAATTTGCGAGCGGCCGAACGTATTGCTACTAGATTTTGCGCGCTCTCTCTCTCTCTCTCTCTCTGTGCTGGTGCT